ATTAAATGCTAATTGCATTTTAAAGAGGTCTTTTTTTTTCCCTTAAAATTTTAATAGGTAGTTGTATTGTTACTGAGAGAACAGTTATGCTAATGACTGACTACTTAGATGATTTTGCATTAATATAATAACCATTACCTGCCTTAATGCGTTGTGCAGTATTGTGGCAAAATAGCTAAGTCTAAAAGAGTTATACAAAAAGCAAAATTCCATAATGAAACAGAATTATATCTTCCACATGAATAGCATGCTTTTTTTATTTCTTGAAGACTGAAATATTATGTCAGAATTGTATTTTCATTTCTCTGTGATACAGCTATCTTACATAGCTCTGTGTGTGTGTGTGGAGAGAGAGAGAGAAGAGAAAAAATAGAAAGCATTGCGAATCAATAGAAGTGTCCTAACTTTTTCTGTTAGCCAACATAAATAAATGTTGTATCCAGTTGGTTTTTTTCTCCTCTCTCTCTTTTCAGGAACCCATATTTTTGGTTTTATTCTGTAATAACGGCCTCAGAGACTGATAACATAATTTGTTTTGCTATTGTTATTTGGTGAACTAGCCAGTGCTGCTCCCCTTGGGTAGAGGAAGCTTGACATCTAGAAGGGTCATGGGCTTCTTTAGACATAATGTGGTTGATGAGCAGGGATTTAAAACAATTTTTAAATTAGGAATCCAGATTAATAGGGTAGTATTTGACTTTTTTTTTAATCTTATCCTATTACTGGGTGCTCAATTTAGCAATTATGAGAAGATGCTTTTGTTCAGAATTTATATGTATTTATACTGGGCAGTGTTTACTTGTCATTAACTTGAGTGTAAACTAAAGAGAAAAAAAATGATGACATGTTCTTTTCTGTATTTATGTTGTGTCATCTCCCCTCCTACCCAATTCCTTCCATTGTATTCTAGATTAGAACTAAGTATTGTTTTCTCTGGGTGTTTTTCTTTTTTTTTTTTTTTTGCCTTTAGATTTTTTTTTTCCCTCCACCTATCACCTGCTTTTCCCCTTGGATGGAAGAGAAAAAAATAAGGACTATTATTTTGATAATCTTGTAGCATGTAGATGATGAAGTCATTTAGAAGTGAAAGAAAACTGTGAGGCAGAATTCACAGAGCACTGGCAAGCTTTCACTGGCAGTCTCAGTGCTGAGGCCCTCATCCCATTGCTGGGTACTGGGGGGTAGCAGGCTCACCTGCCAGCAGCCCAGTGCCCCAGCTCAGCAGTGTAGCTGCCATTCCTGCTGGTCCCTGTGCACCTGGGACTGACCACACCCAGGTGGTATCAGTCAACAGTGTATCATGCAGTATGTTTTTTAATTCATGATTTCCTCTTGAAACTAAAGCAGAGTGTTAACTATGTGTATATGTTTTTAAATTCAGTTTTGTATGCTAGCATTCTTTAAATGTCTGCCAGAAGTTTAATTTGAATTTCTGATCCCTGAAGGCAGCTAGACAGAATCATTCTGGTTCTTCATAAATTGCCTTCTATGATTCATTGTTAACTCATAAAACATATTCATTTCTATATACTCAGACAGTTCAGGCAGTTACAGTGTTAGGGGATATATATATTAAAAAATTTTGCATTATATTTAAATTACTATTTGAGAAAGAACTCAAGAATTAACTTGAGCCCCCAGTTAAGGCTGAAGCCCTACAACATGGAGAAAGAACATCAGAGATTCATACTTTTATCTTTATGGAGGGACTAGTAGATGGCCTGAAATGGAAAAGAGAAATTTTGGTTTTGACTGAGTACTCTGAAAGCGGAGCCCATAAATATTTTAATTCTGTAGTTAAAAGCTCACATGACTGTTTTAAATACTATTGATTTAAACCAGTGGTTAGATTTTATTAATCAAAGTGTAATTTCTAGGCTTTGACCATATTTCTCAATACTAAAGTACTCTCTCTTGTGTGCCTTTAGCTGCTTTCCACACTTTCTACACAGGATTAAATGATAGTAGTTACAGTGATCAATAGGTTAAGACCAGTACAATCACTCTTGCCGCTAATGACCTCAGTAGTAATGGGCAATAAAGTGTGGGCCATAATAGCCTCTCTCGGGGGCTGCCTACCCTTTGGTTCCTAGTATGAGGAGGAACTCACTACATGAAGTTGGACATTGGGAGTTAAGAGAGGATGTATAGGCTATAATTCTTAACTGTGTAAGACCTTAAAGTAGTGTGTTTAGGCCTTTCCCCTCTTCTTTTCTATCTCTCAATGGTTTTTGGCCCATTTGAATGTTTGTTAAAGCTTTCCACAAGCTATTTTCACGACATGTTGGAACAGAAACTTTGGGGAGATCTTGATTTTATTGCTTTTATAAAGTAAGCCGTGAGCCACTTTGGAGGCCCAGAGCTAATTGGTTTCAGAAAGTAAAAGCAAAGTTAAGGCCATTTGGGTAGTCTTGAGGCTGGTCTCTAGCTTCGAGAATCCTGGAGATTGTCCTTTTCCCCTCATTGTGCTACTTTACCTTATTACTGAAGATCAGCACCGTCATCAGAGTCTCCAAAGAGGGACTTAGGTTCATGATCATATTCTTTAACAAGATTGTAAAAAGTGAATAAATAGCTGTGAAAAAGGAAGATTGAAACTATGTTAGTCATATTCTTGAGTTCTCCCCCCCTTTTTTTTCTCATTAAGGGACTATGTTTACAACTGATGTTGAGATCTAATTTATAGACAGTTTTACTTAATTTTACAATGAGAAGAGTTTTGACAATTGTATGCATCTATGCGACTGCCACCCTTGATAAGAGACATTTCTGCCTCCCACCCCCTAATTTTTGTATGCATGCACTTCTAACATAAGAAGGTTTTTTTCTCTGATGATTTCTATGATGTCTCTGTTAATGTTCATTACCAGCTTAGATTTTACACCGCCCTGTTCCTGTCTGTTTTCCTGTTCATCACCATCAGCAATTTGGCTCAAGACTATTTATATTGTACATAATCCAGGAAACACAGAGTGAGAGGAAAAAAAAAATCCACACTCTTAAACATGGTTCTTTTGTTTGTTTAATCAAACCTTCCATATGCTGATGCAACTCTGAAGGAAAAGTAAACTTCTCTTGTGATATGTTGGCATCAGCAGCTCAAAAGATAGTGATTGGCAAAATAAATTCAAAAAGGTTATTTTATGAGAAGACAGAGTACACTCACTAGTTGGATTTAATCTGGATGTTGGAAATTCTGATAATGTTATTTTGATGTTTGTACTAGACATAGCAAAAGTTCACTTTTCAGTCATTGGTTATATCCATTTATATATATCTGTCCTTATTTGTGTATAAAAATATCCAGACATGCCCATCTGTTTTAAATTACTGTGTTATCTCCATCTACACTGACAAGTCCACTGCAGTGGGAGGAACTTGCTGATGCCCTTCCAGGGTTAGGTTAATGAAAATTTTCAAATATTCTAGCTAATATTTTTTAATGCAAAACTCCTGCCCCTCAACATCCCCACACAAAACATGCTCACAACAACAGAGAAGTATGTTCACTGTACATGAATCTGACCTTCAGAAACCATTTTTAGTTCATCAAAATTAGTGATGCTGAGAAATCGGGACATCAGTGCATAATGACTGTGAAATTAGGAGTGAGAGCTCGCTATGCAAATGACAGGACAAATCCTGTGAAAAAGTCAAGATAAACTGCATATTAAGATACTGTGTTACAAAAAAATTAAAACTGCACTTTCCTCTCTTGTTTACTGCACCCCTGAAAGCTTTTTGGGGTGTTTTGGGGGTTTTTTAAAAATTGTTTTTATCTTCTGATCAGCTTTTGTCTGCTAGGGTTCCCCCCCCCCAGGGGCACACAGGCAAAATGCAAAACATGTTATTACCTTTTATTGTAATACATAAGATGACAGCCGATCCTTTTTAACAAAGTATATCCTTTACTGCCTCTGGCTTCTTGCTGTCACATGTTTGATTAGAAACCAAAGAAAAAAGTAAGATTTCTTAAATACTACTGTTAGAAGACATATATGAGTTTTGTCTTTAGTTTCATTGTTTTCTCATTCCTTACCTTTTTTTTTCCAGGGGTCAGAGGTTCATGAAATAGTCTTCTTGCATTACGGGGACTGACAAAATGGTTCTCATGTAGTCTGCAAATTAAACACAAGTGCAGTGATTATTTTGAATAGCTAAATTATATTCTAGAAAGCTCGCAGAATTCATAGCATTGTCATTAGGTATCCGCTTGAATACAATTTGTGTAACCTTGGCCAAGACAGCCTGTCATTTTAATGTCAGTGTTTTATCTGAACAAGACATCATCCTTTCAGATATAGCGCGCAGGTTCCTTATAGAGATGCCCGTGCAGAACCGTGTTAACAGTTGCAAATATGAAATGCTATCAGGTTCATCACTGTAGCTGTTTGTCACTGAAATGTCAGGGAAAGCAGCTTTTAATGGGGTTGCACATAATCTAAAAGAATTGAGGCATCTGTATGCTGAATGAATAAGGAAAGGTAAAAGGCATCATAGAAAGGTCTGTGTTAGTTTCAGAAGGAGCAACCAAGGTTCAGTTATTCACAATATGGAACATTCATTGATTATTTTAGAAATCATCTTGTGTAGAGAATCATGTCAACTCCAGCCAGTAACTTATGGTAGATGACAACTCTTTTGCCTTAGTCCATAAAACAAAATTTAGATGTGAGTTAACTTCATAACCTATTTGAAGGCGGCCTCATAAGGATTTGAGAACGTTCTATCCTAACTCTGGTAGCATTGACTAAGCTTTTGGTCCTTGTCTGCTTGTAGCACTGCCCAGAATACCTGTTAGTACTGCAAGGTTTCCTTTTCTTATCTAATCTTTCTATTCTTGAAAATAAACTTCATATTAAATAAGGTTTATAGCTGCCTCCTATCTGGATAAGTGCATTGTATGTGAGGAATTGGTATATACTTTAAGCAGGCTGGTGACAGACCTGCAAGACTGTGAGATTTCCTAACTTTCTGTTTTTCCTTCATTAATGTTCTAGGTTCCCGTGTCAGTGGCTATGATGACACCTCAAGTTATCACTCCCCAGCAAATGCAGCAGATCCTCCAGCAACAAGTGCTGAGCCCTCAGCAGCTCCAGGTTCTCCTCCAGCAGCAGCAAGCCCTCATGCTTCAACAGGTAATCGTCCCCTCTCCCCCAATGTCCTGTTGAACCGAGGACCCCTCATGCCATACACAGGGCTGCCCTCACTCCTTCCCGTTGAAGGACAGACAGAGTAACCGATTGCATCCCTGAACTAGAGGATCCCTGCAGAGACGAGGCTCTGGGTCTGGAGAGGACCCAGTGGACTAAGATTAGGGAGTAATTGGACTTGGTAGAAATAAGATCTTTCAGGCTTACGTGGCTTTACGCTCTTTTATTTGGTAAGCCCAGAGGCATCCGAACAGTGTGAATCAAAGCAAAACGAGCGTATTGGGAGCAGGTTTAAATGTGACAGCTCCTGAAGTCCCCATTTCAAATCAGAAGCTTTCAGAGTTTCTGGTTTTTGGATTTTCCTCCCTTTATCTCTTCTCCCTGCCACCCCCTCCCCCAAAACATAAAGAAGCATTTTGGAGTTGGTTCGTTTTAAGGCACCTTCTGTGCAGGCTGATGCTAAAATGACCTCCTGAGTGTCATTGTGCCATGGAGTCCTCTTAGACGGACTTGATGGGCACCCAAGTGATGGCAGTAGCTCCTGAGATGGGGGGAAGCGCCCCTGCTGCCGATGCACACAGGGAACCATACTGCACAATGCCCAGCCCTTTCATTTAGCAAGCCCTCTACTGGCCAGTGCACAGCCCAGATCACTGCGCTTGCAGCCGCGGCTCACTAGGTTTGTTGTTACTATCAAAGGTTATTCTTTGCCTAATTTTAATTAGTGTGTGTAGAAGATGGTATGTTTTTCTTCACTTCATTTTGGAGAGTACTTTTCAAACATTAATGCCAAGAATAGTCAGTTGTGCACAGAATTTATTGTTGAGTTTCTAACTAAAGGTCAGATCATTACAGATAAAAGGATGCTACTTTTCAAATCACAGTTTGCGTACGGCACCAAAAGGGGACAGTGGATTGGCACTATCCTCTGACTTATCATCTGCTCTTTATTTTTGTAGCAGCAGCTTCAAGAGTTTTATAAAAAACAACAAGAACAGTTGCAGCTTCAACTTATACAACAACAACATGCTGGAAAACAGCCGAAAGAGGTACCGACAATACATATTTTACTTTGAAACCATAGATCCCGGGGGACTATCTAGTGTCTATTAAACTGTCATTCATCTTTTAAATGATTGCACAGCTCAGCTGACTCTATCAGTTCTCAGCTTTCAAACTGAGAGTTATTGTCCTGTTTTTTGCTCTGTTTTTTTCTGAGTCCTTTTTGCTTGCTGAACGTCACTGCATATGTACCTGGTGTGAGCCTGGCAAGGGCAGTATTGTGAACAGGACATGGAGAGCTGCTGCACTGACATGGGTGGCCCTCGAGAGGGTGGCAGGCTTTCAGTACAGTCCCACTTGGGCACATACTTAGGTTTTTTGCTCCTGTTCAGAGAATCTGAGTGTGTAATGCTAGCCTTTTTCATCAAAAGAATAATCTCTTACAGAGTTAAACCAGCAAAACCAATAAGTTAAAACAAGATTAAAAGCGTTATCCTTTTGTTGGTTTTGCTGTGTTTTTTAAAAAATATCTTTCTGCAAGTGTGCATATTGAAATGACAGAAAGCATATATCAGATAGAGTAAGTTAAAGTTAGGGAAGAGTCAAGCTTTGATTATTTGTATTTTTCTGAGAGAAAAAAAAATTCTTAGTAGCAGTTGCATAATCCTTCATTGCCTTAAACCACACCACCCCTTAAGCAGGGCTGAGGCTTACCCAGCTATGTTAAGTATCTGCACCATGTATGTATTATTTGACAACTTTGGTCATTCCAGAGTTAACTGGTTTAATTTGCCACCTCCTTGCATTTTTCCAGTGAATTGAATTTCTCTTTACCTGATTGTTGTTCTTGGAATGTCACAATTACTAACTTGATAGAAGATCCATAATTGCTTCTTTGCTGGACCTTTGCAAGTAGCCACTTCTGCTGGTTTTGAGAAAGAGCTGAACCAGACTACCCTTGGCCTCCCTGCCCTTCACATGCATGTCTATTTCAGGCATCAAGGTGTTTGTTAGACACTATGACTGACCATGGCTCTCCCTTGCCAGCTCCTCCCTCTGCACAGATTGAGTCCATCTTCCCAGCCCTGCCAGGTTTCACCAGGAAGAAAGTCTCAGCCTAGAGAGAAACCCCTATAGAGTAGAGACAGTTTTGGGGTGAATAGGGGAGACGTGTTAATGAAAATGCTGACACAACTTAAGTACAGTGGCACGCTCTCGAGTGCTGCTATAATAAAAAAGGGAACAGATTAAAAAGTGTCTAAAATGTAAATCTAAAGGACTAACAGTAATTAAAATGGAAATGGCACAGGGAGGGAAGGCATGTAATTGTGAGATATCACTGTGAGGAAGGCTCTCAGCTTTGTTTTGCTGGCTGTTTTTCTAATTCAGCAGGGCTTACTCATCAGTGGCAGTTCAATGCGCGTTAATGACTCTGGGATTGCAGGCATCACTCTGGACAAAGAAATGATTATTGTGCGGTCAAAAGAAGTTCAAAGACAAGAAGGGAATTTCAGTTTTTTCCTTAGAGATCCACATTCAAGAGCATATAAATTAAGCCAAATGTTAAAAACCACAGTCTGAAAGCTGACTTCAAAGTCACAACTCTCTAATTAATGAACTGCGAGCTTCAGTTTGGACAAGTTGTGGTTTGATGCGCCCATAAATCAACATGACAGGCTTGTTTCACAGTCTCAGACAGTGCTTGTCATTGAGTCACATCAGATGTAAACACAGCAGAAAAAAGAAGGGACATGAAGGAGGTGCAATTGATCAACAGAATTGGTAAAAACCCACTTTTGAAGCACATTATGCATGATCACAGGAAATGGTTACAGCCTCAAGAGGTTTCCCCTTCTGCTGTTGCTTTTTTGAATCAGATTTCTAACAGCCTTCAAAAGGGAGAATAAGAATTATGGAGTTTCTCCCCTGTGGCTCACAGGCAATAACCCCCTGTTGTTATTTTGTGCTTCTTTCTTTTCAAAGGCATAAAAATTTAGTTTTTTAAAGATCTTTAACTCTACATTTGAAGACAAACAAAAAAGGGTTGCCACTGTCATTCTTATCAGTTACCAGGGATTGTGTTTTTCCTTTCTGTTGCCACTTCTTATTAACCTCTTATTTGGTCTAGAAGAAATAGTTCGGAATGCACTTGTGCATGTTGGGAGAACATGAAAGTTCAGATGAGCTCAGAGGGCAGAGAAAGAAGTGGGGAGGGGAAAGTTGCACAGCAGAAGGAAGGATTAAAGTTAATTCACCCAAATCGCAGTTGTCAAGAAAGGGAATCTCAGGATGTTGTCATTTCGGGAACACAAAAAATGTAGAGGTGTTTGAGTTTGGGGAAGGAGCTTTGCATCTGCACCTTGTAGGCACTGCGTGTACCTTGGTCTCCCAGGCACTGGTGACACAGGTGAACATGCTCGCAATAAGGCAGACAGTGGCCGTAACTCCCTGGACTTTCCCAAGTGTGTGTTCTGTGGGCTTACCAGGGACTTGTTTGAAGAGTTGTGAGAAAAATCTTTGTTTTCTTTTAGTTAGGGGGTTAGTTGTCTGAAATTAACATGCAGGTAATGGTCCTTTTGTACTAAAATGAACTAGAGTCACATGGTAGCAATTTTATGGCTTGGACTGGCTATTGTGATTTTAACAGGGTTTAAACTTGGACATTGACAGATGGACAAGGATATTAATTTACTGAATCCCCAAGTCATTCGTTAGTGGCTCATAATTCATGTTTCCAGGTTTTCCCCTCTTTTTTTTTTTTTTTACTTTTTCTTTTTGATTATTTCTACAATAGAATACTTGATTCTTGACCAGAACAATGTACTTTTCACTCTCCCTTTTTTTACTAAAATTGCATAGAGGTGATTTCTTGAGAGAGTTTGACCTCACCTTGGCTTAGAACTGAATCCTACTCAGAGGATAGAGGGTCTTGAACAGGAAGGATCGTGTACCGTATGGTAGTTGTTGAAGCATCAGTATTTGATAGAACTGGTGTGGAAAATAGAGATCAGAATTAATTTAAAATCAGGCACCAGAAAGATCTCATCCTGTGTGGATGAGCCAGACCACGTTGATTGTTTTAAAAGCGCAGTTTGTCCCAAGCAGGCATGACAGTTTATGTTAGACAGTAGGGAGTAGCCTAAGAAAGGAAAATAGACCTTTGACTTCAGCTCCAGGGAGGGGATCAGAAATGCAGGGTTTATCTGGGCAGTTTAGCATTTTAACACTGATGACTGACCTGTCCAGGGGACTGCACGGAGACCTTTTTTGTATGCATACAATTGTGAGAAGTAAACAAACCAACTGGTATCCTGTGTTTGGTAACTGGGTGGGGAACGTACTTTGGCAACCACTGTTGCTTTTAAATTCTTTCTTGGGACAATGGGCCTTGTATACTCTTATATCCTGGCTTTTCAAATGTGGAGAGCCTTCATGAGCTTTTCTAGGGTAGCTGCAGAAACAACAGAAAAGGCATCATTTATTTTCTATAAGTACACGGTTTTTAAACATTGCATTTACAGTACAACGGGAAGCACCCTCCTAATCTCCAGCAGACTCCCTCTCCATTATATTCTACTTCAAGAAGAGCTAATTCCACAGTTGTTTATACTGTTATTGTTTCCACCCCCTTTTCTTTTTTAAAAATATGAATTAATATCTCTTGAAGAAGTGAAAAAATCATTTTGACATGAATATAACTATCATTGGGTTTTTCATTAATGTGATAACTTGGGAAGGGGTGAAAACAATTGGATCATTTTATGCATGCTGTTCTTAAAATGAAAACACTGGCTTTTCATTTAAATTTATTTAAATTTTTGTTGTTAGTATGGAATTTGTTTTTTTAAGTGAAACTCAATTAACTTTCTCAGTGGCATGGTAGAAAGTCTGAAATTGGTTGCTAATATAAGAATAATAGTTTTTATTGTAAAATAAACTCCATGGAGACGAACAGGAAGTGACCGTTTTTCATTGCTTTGAACTAGGCATCAGACGACCTTGATAAACCTGCATTTTATGGATACATCAGATAAAAGTCATTATCTGCATTAGGTCAAGTGACTCGTGTTATTTATAAAGTGTAGTGATTAAACCAGAGTCTAATGCTCTCAAAGAATTTTATTGTCCTCTTAGTTGCTAAAGTCTTTCATGTTTTGAATAATTCTTAAAATTATGAAAGCTGCTCTTGTTTTCTTTGAAGAGCCCTTCCCCTGTGATTTTTTGTTGTTGTTGTTGTTGTTGTTGTTAGGACTTGGGAAGGGTTAATTTCCTTTTGTAATTGTTAACCATTATGTGGCTAAGACCTCCACCTTGATATGATTCCTAGCAGATTAAGGATATTAGATAATTTCCTTCTATTTATTGTACTACTGCACTGTATTATCTTTCTATTACTCAGATAATTACTAAGGAAATCTGCATTAATTTTTTTTGGCTAGAGCCAGGCCTGTTAAACACAGACATGATGTATTGATGTTTTACACAACATAAGTTTTCCCTTGTCATTGTCCAGTCAACAGAAAGATATTTATTATACTGCAAAGCCCTTCTTTTCATGAACAAAGAGATAGGAGTAAAGCAGGACAAGCCACAGAGTTTTCTGAAACCAAAGTCAAGTTAAGGCATCTGAAGCAAGTCACATTCATGTTGCTAACCACTCGCAGTCAAGTACGATGTTGTTTGCTAAATTATTAATGTGTGTAATTAAAATCTAGTGACTGTTTCTATGAAAGATTTACAATGTTATTTCATCATTTGTCATGGCTAATTAACAATATTAGATGAAGTTTTTCTTCTTCAAAGGTCTGATTTTTTTTCTCATTTATTTATGTCAGAAGTGATAAACAGAGTAGTTAAAAGCTTCTGCCGAGGCAGACAGGAGGATGGCAACCACTTCTTTTATACTTCAAAAGTTCAGAGTTCAAATCCCTTCAGACTTAGTGTAATGCCAACTCCTTTATAGCATGAATAATTACAGCTTCCCAAGTCTAGAAGATCATATCTTCACTACTAAACTTGGCGTTTTTATGCTACAGGGACAGCTGTCTGGATTAAAGAACTGTTTTTCAGTAGGAGCAGGAGTCCAATCACCCATCTTAACAGGTGCTTTGAGCCAGTCTGAGCCTTTCACTGAAGTCTAGTGCTCGTTCTTAGCAACAGCAGTGAGTTTGGAAACGTTCATACTGTTAGCATAGCATCTCATTTTTCCCCCTTTCTTTCTCTTCCTGATACCTTCCAGCAGCAGCAGGTGGCTCCCCAGCAGTTGGCTTTTCAGCAGCAGCTTTTACAGATGCAGCAGCTGCAGCAGCAGCACCTCCTGTCTTTGCAGCGCCAAGGCCTTCTAACAATCCAGCCCGGGCAGCCTGCCCTCCCCCTTCAGCCCCTTGCCCAGGGTAAGTGCTCACTCTCCACCAGTCACAGCACTGTTCCAGCTGAGGGTCTTAAGCTCATCAGGAGAGGATCTCAAACGTGCATCTGTAAACGTAAAAAGGAATTGACTGAGGCTATGTTTGGCCCTCAGGAAGTTAAATACTTGTTGCCCAGATGAAGATGATCTAATTAAGTATTATTGGGCATTTTAATTGATCCTTCTGGCATTTTCAATTTGGAGTCACATATAAATTTTTTTAAAGGCCTTTATTTTAAGACACAGTTTTATATCATGTAACTTGTTCTGTTTTAAACTTTAATGTATTTTGTAACATTCAAGTTTAAATTTTAAGTTGTTGAAATTTGATTTTACTTTTCTAGGAACTATTAAAATCAACTTCTCTTGTTGGTGATGTTATAGAACCCAAAGTTGAGCAACTTTTTTTTTTTTTGCTGATTCCCTTTTACTTACCTTTTTTTTTATTTTTTAAAAAGATATTTGAGCAAGTAAATTATACTTGGATGGAGCAGGAACCATTTTTATCTCCAGTTCTTCAAGAACAGAGGTTCATTGCAAAGTAACAAAATCACCTATTAAACTTTTTTTTGTATATAATCTTGTCTGATATCCTCCCCATATTCTGTGAAATATCTTTTTGTAATATAACTTTGTAAGCACACAATTTTGTATGGCCTTTTATTTTTATTGTCCTTGATTTTTTTATTTCCCATTCAGCGATTGGTACAGAGACTGTTTTGTGGCACTGAATACAATCCCTTCACATTTGTCCACACTTTTCACTTCCATCTGAGGCTTCCCATTTGCATTTGACCAACTTTCTTGTCCCTTCCTGCCTTCCGAATTTTGCTTTTGTGTTTGCTTTCTGTTTCTTATAGTTGAGCATTTTGAGTAACACATTCCTCATGGATATTACTGATCACTTTTTAAGCCTATCTTTTAATGTCTTGCTATAAGGGGGGTCTTCAAGAATGAGTGAATTTCTGAGTTTGAAGGGAGTTGAAGGGCCTTTGTCTTAGAAGTTTCACCAATAAGTTTGGTACATTTAATGGATTTAATTTTGTTTTGCTTGTTTTGTTTTGTTTTGTTTTTTCCCCCTTCACTTTATCCAGTACCTTGTATTGTGATTCCAATCAGAGTGGTCTACAGTAGCAGCCAGGAATCATCTAGTTCTTGTTTTCTAGTGGAGGCTGTGGTACACGTGGTCCTTTGGTCCTTTGGACAAATGGTTATGTTTCAGTCTTTGGTTTCCTCCACTTTTTTTTGGCCTGGAAAGGGAGAAACCAGTACTTTTGTCTTTATTGAATACTCAATAGCTTTAAGACTCCATTCATTTAGCTAGTTTTAGGAAATCATCTTAATACAAGAAACTCTAATTTTTAACTATATACTATGAAAGCAAAAAGGTTATTCAGAACTAAAAGGAATAAAGAGAGAAGAAAGAAGCATGTATGCTCAGATGGTAAAATATATTTCCCATTCTCACATAGTACAGCAGTTCCCAGTCAGCACCTCAGTACTCCCATGTCCTTTTAGTTCTGATAAATTTGCATATATTTATGTGCTTTAAAGGCTGCTGATAAAGCCTTTAGCACCTTGAGCTCTGTTTTCTTCTGAAGAGGGTAGAAAAATGTAACATCTCTTCTACCTCCATATTGCTTAAAGTGTGGTTGACCATTTGTCTGGCAGTTTTGGTGTAAAGTACATCCAGTGAGGCATATCTGTGTTTGAATTTTCTGTTGAGCTACCACACCCAGTTTCCGTACATCTGAGTTTTTGCATGTTTGTTTGAGAGAGAGAGAGAGAGTGTGTGTGTGTGTGTGTGTGTGTGTGTGTGTGTGTGTTAATGCCCCTTTAACTTCTCTCTTGTCACGTCTTTCATTTCTGCCATTACTGCCCAAGCACTTGATATATAATCACCATCTCCTCCAGTGCTGTCAAAATAGAAGATTTGGTAACTGAACAGTACTAGGGAAAAAGAAAGGACATACTGGTTAATGCCTTTTTGTGCTTGCAAAATGTTATAACATGCATTAATTACACCTTCAGGTTTATTGTTAGAAGCATTGCAGGCTGTTCTGACACACCCACTGGTCTCAAGCTTCCACCTCACTCATCTTTTCCCACTGCTCCTATACTATTAAGTTTGCTCACTAAGGTTCATTGTTATAGTACATCATTTAAGCTACCCAAAAGAGGGCAATTGGGCAGTGACAAGACAAGCTCATGCGTAATGTGAAAGAAATGAATGTGGTGATGCATGAAGTGTAATCTCTGCAAGAACATATCGGAGACACTGGTAGGTAATTCACTAGTCATGGCATTGATTGATATGCTTAGCAGTCTCCTATATCTATTAGCCTTTCAATCTTAGTAGGAAAAATTATATTAAAAATATAAGAGGCGCCTATATGTGTGACTGCGATAGCATACACATAAATACAAAGCTTTCTGCAGTGAGGGTCTTACAGTGACGGGAGCTGCCTGCGCTGTTGCCATCTGTGGAGTCTGGAGTTGGCTCTTAACCCCCAGCACCATTGTTCCCACTCCACCCACAGCCTGTCCCCAGCGCCCAAAGTGGCCTGAGAAGTCACTCATGTTGCAATACAACACCTTTTTTTTTGTCGGAGAGATGATAGTTTAAAACTGTTATCATTATGAGGTTTAAACCAACTTTTCTGCTTGCTTGAACATGGTCACCTGGGTGTGGATGTGCAAGGACAAAAAAGGTTGATCAACTCTGTTGGTCTCTGAGCTAGTGATTCCTGGGTTGTAAAATTGAGTTCTGCAGGCTGTAATCTGTCAACTGTCCTCACAACATACATTTTTTAAATCTGTGCCTGAATTTTCTTTTGTAATAAAGAGAGTAGTTGTGCTGAAAAAAGAAATGTAGCAAGGCACAGGACATATATACTTAAAGTGCTTGTCATTCCTCCCACAATTATTGAGGTTCTTTTACATACCTGGTTATAGCCTTGGCTGAGTTACTTTTATAGTATGTGAAAACGCTGAAGTATAGAAATAGAGTCCTGTTTTGAATGCTTTTCTTTTTCCTGAAAGTTTTGTGTTAATAGATTTTTTACTTTCGAATTTTTTTTGTTGTTGTTACAAGGGGACCTTCCTTCTACTTTACATAATTTGTGTATCTGTTTTTCACTCTAGTCTCTGTAATCATCTGATCATCTAGTACGTGTTATTTTATATAGAAATGTACTTTGAATATCTTTCTAATATTTTCCATTTTTTTAAACTGTAGACTGTGAGTATATGATCATATACGCACTTATGTTGTTGTTACATGCATTGATTGAGTCGCCTGAGACTCAAAGCAACCCTATGTACAGCAGCTCTGAAGCCCTCCCTGTCCTGATCCAGTGTCACTGACTGGGACACACCTACCTCCATTGCCCCAGTAACTCTTATCAATTCATCTCATCCAGTCCCTCCTGGCTAAATGCCCAATGTATGTTAGAGCTTTAGAATCCTAACCTTCAAGGAGAAACTTGGTTTCAGTCTCTCCAAGAGAGACCTATTTATTCTCTTGGCGGTCCATGGTGTATGTTCAGTACTCTTCTTCTCCAGCATCACAACATGCTGGTGGATTAATTTACTTTAGCTTTATTGCTCGCTTCCCCTATCATTTTAGGAAGAAATGCTTGTTTCCTGGAAAGCTGATAACCGTTATGTGTGTTAATTCTGTAGTGAGTTCTTGGCTGTCAAATTACAGCACACCTTGGTAGATAAACTCATCCAACTAACTAACAGGTTAGCATCACTATTAAGGTGTAGTAGTGATGGAGAGGTCTGTTGGCCTTCGTATATATGGTGTGAGAAGGTTCTTAAAGATAATTACCACATAGAAATTTTGCCAAGAAGTATTTCTGTTGTCACTCAGTGAGTTACTGTTTCATTTACCATCTCTGTCCTTATGTGAGAAAATGAATGGCTAACCCGTTTGTCTAAAAGGAGGCTACGGTCATGTTAATGTTCTCTGGAGCTGTAACAGTGGTAAATAGAGTTTTCTTTGTCTCTGACTGCTGGTTAAACAGCTTTCTTAAAAGAGCTTCAAAGTTTTGACTTTTCAGAGGGAAAGGTGTTAACTCCCAGATCAGAAGTGTGTTTTCCTACCTCCCTGTAAAAAGTCTCTGCCATCAAGTCAGGACTAACCTAATTCAGTGATCTCCCATGCAGCTGACCCAGAAACAATTAGCTTGAGTTGAAAAATAGGCAGCTTGTGTTTGGGTTTTTGGTTTTGTTGTGTTTTTTTTAAATGTATTTACTGCCTAGAAAATAAAAAGTGGTGCTCATTTGTGTGATTTTGATATCAACATTAATAGATGATCAGACTCTTCAGTTGAATAAAGTGTCAGCCATGTTCACAGGCAGTTGTGGGTGTGCAGACAGCGGTGAGCAGCCTGCTCGCTCCAAATGCATACATGTCACTTCATAAGGTATCTGAAAAGAATAGCCCAGATGTAGCAAAAATGGACATGGGCTTGTGTAGTGACCTTTCTCTTTGTTTCATTTGTCTGTAAGGTTTGATTTTAGGTGACTAGTAATAATTGAATATGTCTAAAAACTAAATGCTTATTTAGGACAAAAATCCATCAAAATGTAATTGGCATTTGATTTTTATGAAGGGAGAAGAAGCCCGACTTGGCAATCGAGGATGCGTTCTGAGACTGCCTGACCACTTAACCATACCATCTGAAGCTTCCTTTAAATATATATTAATTGCAAATACTAGAGCATTTGGACATTTCCGGGAGAACCGTTAGGGAGAGACCAACTGTTTTTGTTAACGCTACTCTCAGAAAGGCGGCGAAGGTTATTGGTCTGCTGTGCAATAATTTACTCCTCTTTGATATGCAAACGATCCACAGTGAATATAAAAAAATCCTATCAGACTCATTTCACAGTTCTTAACCACTCGGATTCTCTGGAGCCCATCGGCTCATTAGACCAGTGCTCTCCAATGCTAGCATAATTAAAATCTTTAACAGTTTAGCAAAGTAAAGATGTTTGGCTGATCACATTGAGATGATTATCTATCCATTGTATTCTAAATGACAAAAATAAATTAAATTTAGACCTTGGCATTTTTTATTATATGTTTCAAATGGATATAATGCACACAGTCTTCTTTTTTAATTCAGTACCTGAGGTTTGTTAAGAAACATGCCTGTTTTAGCTCCTGCTATATAGTGAGAAAATGGCAGGCTTCCTAAAATAGCTTTGCACTACAGTTGATTGAAACAATGAATTGCAAAGATGTCCAGTTTTAATGTGAGATTGCATTACTTTACATCAAGTTTGTGATTTTTTTACGGTATGCTTCAAAAGAAGCTGCTGTTGTTTTGTTCTGGCCATTAAGTATCTTTTCCTTTAATTTTCAGTACATGTATACACTAGAGTATGTACTGGATAATATTTTTAAATTCTGAGCCATAGATGCATGCCAGAATAAAGGTTAAGAGGCCCACAGTTGTGGGACTAACATTCTGATTATCTGTCTTCTTGAGGACATCCAAATTTACACTTACTCTTTTAAACCCATGCCCATTTTGACCCCCTTAAAATACAAGAGATTTTATTACTCCAAATTGATTTTACATTTTCGTTTTGTTCTGAAAGGGTTCATTAGCATTTATCTAAGAAATGACAGTAATAATAGTGTTACTTGGATAAAAAGTTATACAGTTTTTTAGTAGACACATCCATCAATTAAGCATGCAGTACTGGAAACCAAAATTAATGAGGAAGATAGGTGTGTTAATGAAATAATCATAGTATAATCAATTTGACTGTTAAAAGTTGAAAAGCATTTCAGGAAGACGATAGCAATTCATAATTTATGTCTAAAAGTGATTAATAAAAACTATATTTAATAACAAAGCTATTTGTCATTACTTAAGACTTAAACACAAAAATAATTCATTTTGTGGCTCATGTTGTCATAATAGTATAGTTGAACAAATTTATTTTGAGCCCTTCTTTGTGTGTAAAAATAAGATAACATCTATCTTCTCTCCCCACCCCAGAAAAAAATTGAGAAACAGTAGTTTGGATGCCAAGGAACAATGTTTGAATCCTTTCCGTGAGTGTATTTTCCATGTGATAAGGGCACTTCAGCTGCCATGCTCAGGAGGGAGACAGTCCTTATTACTGTATTTATCCAGTTCAGGGGAGGAGGTACACAAAAAAAGCCCCTCACACTAGGCTTTGTTTATTGACTCTGATTTAATTACTGTTTGAAGAGGACAGAATTAGCTGTTAATTGATTTAATTATCCAATGTGTGTATTTTAGGCATGATTCCAGCAGAACTGCAGCAGCTTTGGAAAGAAGTGACAAGTGCCCACCCTGCAGAAGAGACCACAGGCAACAGTCACAGCAGTCTGGAACTGACCACGACATGTGGCTCCGCCTCAGTCCCTTCCAAGACCTCCTTAATAATGAACCCGCACGCCTCTACCAATGGACAGCTCTCCGTCCACACTCCCAAAAGGGAAAGGTAGGGACCAGCCACTGAGAGATGACCAAAGCTGTCTTCCCCAGGCAAAGGGTGGGCAACCTTTTGGATCCATGTGACTCGAATATGCATGTGACTACTTAAGAATTTATTCAGTATCATTTAGATGTGGAACATCTAATTCTTTTTGACCTTTCAGCACGGAGTTAGCACTGCTGTTGATCTGCTCTTTGCTTGGGAACTCAGGCAGCAGTCTGTCCTCAGTGCATGGCTTGAGTTTTAAGGCTTTCACTGCTGCTCTTCCTGCCAGGAGCTCCCTCCTTACAAGCAGAATTCTTTCGTTGTAAATGCTTTTGAAGGGAAATAGTGTCTGCTGTGGGCAATTTTGACTCATACTTCAAGAAAAGAAAACACTTGCATTACTCTACAGTGCCCTCCTTGATGACAAGGAGCTCATCTTTCTCAAGGTTGTTTTTCTAAAACGCATGACTTTCTCATACTAGACATTCAGGAAAGGTTTGAAGGGTGGGAGAGAACAGATGAAACACAGCACACTCTCCTCATGAAGGGGATATATTGTAGCATTGTCCTAGCTAATCAGCTGATGGATTCCTATTTGGAAGTTGGACATTTAAAACTTTTATTTTAAATTCTTTGAGATTTCTAGGAATATTAGTTGAAGCTGGGATAGTTTTGAAGTTCTAGAATATGTAATATTATTAGCATGGTGTTCTAAGAAATGAAGTTATGAATGCTCACTGTACCTGAGTACCCAGAAGCATTAATAAGGTCGAGATAAAATGTGCTTTCCAAGTGAAGTACATAATTTTCTAAGTTGGAAATTCATTTTGCTTGTTTAAATTGTAACCTCTATTTTTCATATGCAGACCTCTGCAAACATGGAAAAGCAGACTTTGTAAGTGATGTGTAGTGGTAAATGTGTTTCCTTCAGGGGAAAACCACACAAAATCTGTATTTTGTTTCTTAATGATTCAGAGAAAACTTTTTATTATATTTTCAGAAAAGCAATTACAAAATAATTTGATGTATACCTGTACAATTTCATCTCTAAACAGATTATTAATCATAAAAAATATTATCTGAACAAAAATACATATATACGTATATACACATATATACACTCTACACAGTAAACCTGTAGGCCTGGGAATGGGCTGCATTGCCTTGTTCTCCAGCTCTTACAGGGCTTCTGCATGTGCCAGGGTGAAGTATGAACTGCTTTTCTTTCACTCATTTAGTGGAAAATAATCCCCTCTGGATACACTCCACCCCAAACATTTACGTATACAACCATGAGATACTCTAACAGATAAGGGTATACATGTTTTGACTGACATTTTAAACTATCCTTTTAAAGTAGCTTAGCAAGAAGAACCAAAGATACCTTAAAAATACTGGTTTCATAGAGCTTACGGATGAGAATGGTTTTACATTCCACCTCACTTTGTGGAGCCACTGAGTGAAACGTGTTTTCTATTGTTCTTAATAAGGATAGAGACATATGTCTGGAGATAGATTTTAGCTCTTGCATTCTCTCTTATAATGTCTTTGTCCTTCTTCCCCCTCCCACTGCCCCCAAAATAGAAAACCTTAGATAGCTTTAAAGAAGAGGTTCTGGGCTGTTGTTTGCTGTGCTTAGCATTTGATGTCCTAAGGCTAGTGCCATCCATTTACTATGGAGTGATTGAATTACATCTTATCCATAGGCAGAGCAGGGGCAGAGGATGAAAAATGCCATCTGATGCACTTTAGGTTTTTGTTGCAATCTTGTCCGTCCTTGTGGAGCCTGCACAGATTTCCTGGGATACAGAAAACCCTCCTTGTGCTCAGTTTAATTCTAAAAGGATACATACCTACAGTCAGGTTAGAGATTAGCAATGAAGCAAGTGAGAGAAAAGTCCTTTTCATGTCAGAAGGCAGATTTGAAAGAAAATGAATCTAACAGTTTAAACCCAGGAGACTTGAGTCTGTTTGAATGTTTTTAAATGATCCTTATTTGTTTGTACAAAAGGTTGACTTAATATTCGTTTTATACGCATGAATTAAAATATGAATTGGGAATGAATTCTGTTCACAGTGATCCTTACTCAACCTGGATATGAAAACAGACTGCTTCTCCCTGCTATACAAGGCAAAGAGGAAAGAACTGCAAAACCATTGCTTAAATCTTTTAAATCTCAGTTTGTATTATCTGTTAATTGTATTATCTGTTATGTCCTAGACATGGAGGAATTAAAAAAAAATTGTAATCACATCTTTATTGATGTAGCCACAAATGAACACCGTAAGTTATATATACTTCAGAAGTTCTAAGGTTTAAGTTTTAAGTTCAAGATTTTTACAAATCAAATATCAGCCATCTTTGTTTGTGTATTTCAATGGCCATTGAGTCAAAACTGACTCATAACTGACCCTCCAGTGGGTTTTCAGAGCTGTGAATTGCATGGAAAGAGATTGCTCATCTTTCTTCCAATTGTGTAAGGAGCCCAGTTAAGACAGTGGTTAAGCATTCAGCTATTAAACGAGAAGTTGGTGATTCTAACCCACCTTTCTCACTGCTTGGAAGAAAGTTGAGACAGACGGCATATGTGAAGATTCATAGAACTAACTAGAACTCCCTGGGCAGCTCTTCTCTCCATGGTCACTGTGAGTGAGGTAGAATTAGCTCAGTGACAATGGTTATGATAGGACTTTGAGTTTAGGAAAAATACTGTTTTTCACTAACTTAAAAAACTCAGTCCACTCCCGTCCGTTCGCTTCTGACTCAAAGCAGTCCTTCGTCAGGCTTACAAGACTTCATATTTTTCAAATTATTGTTATTATTATTACTACTATTTTATATTGGTTTGCATACAGAATTCATACACCTTGTGTTTTGTTTATATACATTGTGTTTCACACATTTGATCCAACTCCACCCTGAACTCCCATCTTTCCTCTCCTTCCCCCTTTAAGGAAATTTTCCTTCTTTATTCCACAGAGTTGGCTAATGCATTGGAACAGCTGACCTTTTGGGTAATAGTCTTATACTATTTACTATGCCTCCTTTTCATACTAGCTTACTGTGGTAAATTTTACAAACCTCATGTGAACCCTCTGTAAATTGTGGAAATGGTTTGAAAAAGGGGTAGGAGGGTTTTCATTGCAAGAGTATATTTGGGCTTTCATTTACCCGGAGAAATTTCCTTTCATATCCATCAGTGTATTTGAGAACAGCCACCCATTTGAGAACAGCCACCCGTATCATATTGTGGAGTGTTGTGCACTGTTTCTTTTCTCTGCATTCTCATGGAGTTGAATTCAGACAGGCAGGAGCACCTGCCTTACGGAAGAACATCCAGCCCCACAAGCTGGATCTGAGGCTAGTGCTTTAAGGATGCATCCTGGATGGATTTATGAGCACTCTCCATGAGACTTTATTAGCCAAATGTAATATTTTGAGAGCTGTTTTGTCAGTATTTCTGAAATAGCATGATGTCCAGTGCCTCCCAGGGGACTGCATCATTTGTGCATCTTTGGGACCTCCTCTCCTTCCCATGCGTTTTGCTGGCTCTCATGAACAGCCACTGCAGCAAGCGGCTCTGGGGTTTGGTGAGCTGCAATCTGTTAAGGAGATAAATAATGTGCTTGGCACGACACTCCTACTCTCCCCTTTAATTTGTCTTACACAAGGAAAATGATAATTAAATCATTCAGGGTAAACCCTTGAGTGTAGAGAAGGGGGAAAAACACACTTTGGTAAGGATTGCCAATAAAAAGCCACTTCCCTGTTGCGCAGGCTAGAGACATTTATCAATATTCAGTACTGCTGGGGGAGGAGCGGCCCGTGTGATCTGTGAGGCTGATGCCAGGGCCTCAATTCAGACTTGTGAAGATCTGGTCCCTCTGCAGTCACAGATGCTCAGCATCTTTAGAATTCAGGACTGGCACTGTACTCTGCTTTGATTTTCTTCCAACAGTTTAATAATGTTTATTGTGCTGATTATATATAAATTTTTTGATGCAACAAACATGCGTACATTGTTAAAGATCAAGAGGAGTGTGGTGAGAACTCAGTTCAGAGGGCAGAAGCTAAATGGAGCCACAAAAAAAGGGAAACCCGTCCCTGTCCTTGAGCTCTGTAGGAGCAGAGGGTTTTCACTAGATAAGGAAATAGACAGTACTCAGGCTTGGGGTACCTGTAAACGTGAGATACTAGCTTGTTTCCATAACTTGTTGGACTATCTGAAAATTATTTTAAGAAATTCCAAGTTTTGGTATGGGTAAACAAAATAAGCAGCATGCAAATGAAACATTTATTAAAATGCTGAATTTAGTAAAGCCCTTTGAGCTTCTTGGATCAAAGCAGCTATGTAAATACAAATAGTAATTACTACTTAAGTAATTGCCTGAATTAAAATTCTAAATACTATATTTATGGTGCACTGGGGAAATGAAAGGGGAGGGAACTTTATTTAATCAGTTCCTTCTGTATGCCAACCACTTTACATATGCAATGATGTCTCATTTTAAGCTACCTGATGGCCTGTGAAACAATAGGGAATATTACACCTATTTTACAGATGACAAAAGTTGAGTCACAGAGATTAAATAACTGACCCTAAGTCATACACCTTGTTAAGGGGTTATCCAGAATCCAAATTCAGGTTCTGTTCTTTTAGTTCACTGAGTGTCATATAATGTTTCCATTGAGATACTAGGTGAAACTAAGTTATGATTAAGTTAATCATGTCCCTAAAAGAAATTTTCATTTCAGTCCAATAAAATTTTTTTAAAATTTATTTACTGTGTATGTATAATTGCATTTAAATAAAACTGCAAGTATTTTTAAGGTAGGTAAAGATATTTACTAGGCTTTTAAGAACAGAGGTGGTATTTGAATAATACAAATCATTGACAGTCTTTAAATATCACATCAAGGATAAAAATTAATTCCATACAGTATTTAAAGAAGGCAAATGCAAAACAAGCCTCTTTGTCCTTTAAAAGTTTCCTTTCTTGCCTTCTTGCATTATGAATCT